TCTCACCCGCGGCGACGGAGCCCTCGTCCTCGACGTTCTCGTCCTCAACGTTCTCATCGTCGACTTTCCCGTCGTCGGCGTTCTCGTTGCCGGCGGACCCGTCTTCTTCACCCTCCGCGTCTTCATCCGAATCGGCCTTGGTGGACTCGGCCGAGGTCTCGCTGTAGTTGTTGGAAAAGTCCAAGACCTGTAAAACGGCTTGGGACGACGACGCAACGGGAGGCGGCGATGGCGAAGGCTGGGGCGACGAGGAGGGCGCACGGGTACGACTACTCGCCAAGTGCGCGACGTCGATCTCGTGGTCCTCGAGGGGCTGGAAGGCTTGATCCTGGATGCTCGCGGGGTCCGACTTGTCGAATTCCTGGGCCTTCTCGATCTCCCTCTGGAACTGCTTCTCCATCTTTTCCATCTCGCGATAGAAAAACGGATCGAAGAAGGCGGGAGGTGCCGCAAACCGCTTGTTCGCCTCGCCATCCAACAAGTCCCCGTGGGCCAAGATCATCCGAACACCCTTGCGGATGTCGGCCAACTCGGCAGCGTCAATCTCGGTCGCGGTATGGACGAACATCACCTTGATGCGTTCGTCCGAGCCGTCGTCGAAGTGATCCTTCAGCTGACCAACGAAATCACGGAACTGGCCAATGGCCAGGACGCGGATCTCGTTGGCCGTGCGAAGAAGCCCGCCGTACGCGTCCAAAGTGTCGGCGAGACGGTTGGCGGACTTGTTGAGATCTGAAATAGTCGTCAGAAACGATCACAAATAGGAATGAATGAAAAGGGCGGACTCGTACCATCCGCGCTCATCTGCGCGATGTACCCGAAGCGTTGTCCCATATACAGCTGCTCCGCGGGCTTGTAGCCGTTGGTGCAAGTCTGTTTATAGAGCACGCACGGGGCACACCGATTGCCGTGGCGCCCGTCGACGCTCTTGAAGCAGACGCGCTGCCGCGTCACGCACATCGCGCAGGGCCTTGGCGCGACCTCCTATTAAAAGGGAATCAGTCGTCGAGGCATGGCAGAAAAAGATAAAGGAACGCACGAAGTCAGTTGGCACCTCGACGCCGGCCCTTTCCAACTTCCCCGCGAACCCTTGGCGTGCCACCGAAAGGAGCGCCTCGGTGTCGTAAGCGGCGGGAGTGAACGGAGCTCGGGGCGTGTGAGCCGACGCCTTTGCAGGAGTCTAGAAACAGTCAAGTCAGTAAGAAGTCGACGACAAGAAAAGTCGCGACTCATCGAGTCAGATTTCTTCTTGGCCGCCGCAACGGACTTTTCTGCCTTCTGGGCCTTGAGCTCGGCCTTGGCCGCCGCAACACTCCGCTCGTGACCAAGGGTCGCGGCCACCCTGCCCAACTCACTGCGTGGAGTCTTGGTAGCGGCGGGAGCCGCCTGGGCAACCTAGAAAGAAAGAAAATTGAGTTAGTCGACGTCTGGGACCCAAGATTTGTGTCTCACCTTAGCCACTGGGGTCGGGGTAGTCGTCGCTCGCGGGGCGCTCGCCTTGCGACTGGCCTCCACCTTCGGCACCGGATGGGGAGGCACGGGCTTGGTCGACTTGGATGATCCATCCGCGACCTTCTTGATTGGCTAAAAAGCTGGACTAAGGGGCGTGGTCTGGGAAAAAGGAGTCGGCTTACCTTGGGCTTGACGCGGGTCTCGCTGACCTGCTTCTTGGCCACGACGAAGTCGCCGGTCTCCTCTCCGCTTTCGGAGGTGTCGTCCATGACAATGACGGACGGGGCTACGAAAGTATGAGTAAACGACAGAGGGGGGACAAGAGGAAAAACGTACTCAGATTTGATCGCGCTTTCCCCTTGGACTTGGGCCCCTGTCAAAAACAAACCAACCATGAGACGAAGGAATCGCGATCGACGAACTGGGTCACTTACCTGAAGGGCCAGCTCGTCAGCCGAGGACGCGTCTCCCTCCTGGACCCCCTCGTCGTCGACATCCATCGCAGTGTCGGCGACGGCGGCGGCTTCCTCATCGCTGAGGGACTCGGGCTGCACAGGCTGTGCTTGGATCCGGGCTGGGAGGGTTCAAGTGGTTAGTCGAAAAGATCAACGGAATAAGACATAGGGTGGACATACCTGCGTGCGTCTTCTTGTGGACGTGCTTGGGAGGTGACCCCTGTGGAACAGGGACCGAGGTAGCGGCTACGACAAAATCAGTACCCGCGACTTTGGTGAATGAAATGAAAAAGCCACTTACGAGTAGGCGCATGGGACGTCGCCTTGGGCTCCTTTGCAGGAGTCGCCTTGGGTCGCTTCCCATGCGACTTCTCGCTCGACTTCTGGGCAACAGCGACCTTGCTGCCCGCGACGGCGGCAGGGGCCTGCGGCTTGGAGCCGTCACCCTTCCCCTTCTGCTTGGCAGGCCGGGACGACGAAGGGGCGGCGACTTGCTTGGTTGAAGCCGCCTGGGAGTCGATCAGAACATAGTGAAACGAACGAAACAGAGTACACGTACGGGTTCGACGACGCGTTTGCGTTTCTTGGGCGGCGACGACTCCTCGACTGGAGCGTTGGTGGTCAGAGGCGCAGGCGCCGGCTAGCCCTTACGTTAGTGAAAAGAAGGAAGGCCAAAGCGAACAGGCGCGGCAATCATTGATCGCCGTGACTGCTCGCTCCAGCGGGCTTAAGACGGGGCTCACCTGTTGGATCTGGCGGACGTCGACGGCCATCTGCCGCAACATCTGGTTGTAGGCCTCGGGGCTAGGCAGGTGGTGAGTTGAGTCGACAAGCCATGGGAGAGACATTGACTGACGGCATGAACTGCCGCCAGTCGATGGCAGGCAGGTTTGCTCCCGGGACAGCTGATTCGGTGACGGCTGATGGACGGTTAGCGTGGTTGAAAAGTCGCGGTAATCGTCTTGGGCGTCACTCACGGTTGTTGTCTTGGGGGCGGGGACTCTGGTCGGGCGCGGACATAGTGGTCAAAAGGCAAGAGTGCCTCGTACTAGGGAGACTCTCGACCCTGAAAATTGAGGGAATTTATATGGTGAACATGCCGGAAGAAGTTTGATCGCGGCAGATCACGGGAGGAACCGAACAACCGAATGAATAAGACCTGGGAACATAACTCTATGTCTCCGCGGCTTTAATAATAAATGAATGAGACGTCGACTGTTGGACTTAGACCTGACGCAGTGAGACTGTCGCGGGATTGACCAGGAGGTCAAAATTAGTGTTCCTGGGAGATGATAGGCTGGCTACCAGACACGCTCTGCACCAGCTCTGTAAGGGCGTATTTTTGCGCTTTTTACAGAGTTTACTCCTGAACCACTCGGTGTATCGTGTCGCGGATGACAGTGTTGCGCTCAGTAGGACTTATGGGTCTACTGCCAAATCGACAACTGTGGATAGTGTCGACGATAGCAAGGCAGTCAGACCACTACTGTGGAACTGGTCTTACGAGTCTATACCAGGCTCAGGGCCATTAGTGACGAACGCTTGGACCGCGACCATTCCCCAAAAAGGGATCTGTCGTTGCATCGACTTCTCAAAAAGAGTCATTCTCTGCAGATGGGAACTTGGGCTGAAGGGCTGAGCAATGCGCGACGTTCTCAATAATAGAACTACTACTGGACAGGACTTGGCGTTACGAGACTTAAACCATCTTGTCGCGGCAACTCCCGGTTTTGGGTTGGACGTTTCCTCAGATCATGCCACGACGACGACTTGTCACATGTCAGGATCCATTCGATCACGGGACATTGTGGACGCGTTGCAGTGACACTTCTAAGTGTCACGGCGAGTCGCGCCCATACCTAAACACACTAAAATCGGCACGGCTAGATCCGTGAACCGAACCATGTGAGGGACGACTGGCGTGCCTAGGGCCATACGGCTTCTTGGGGCGCCCACGTTGGTCTCACATGCCAAGACATACCCGTTGGCCAATCCAACACGTCGTATTCCAAAAGTATGACGCGGTGGGTTGACCCACATCAAAAGTATCATATGGACTATGGGGCGGGGTCCTGATCACTCAGGGCCTGTCCGATCGTTCAACTTTTCAATTACCCTAAAAGGCAACCGATCTTAGATAGCGTAGCTACTATGCAGTTGTACAGGACTTTACTAAGCATCGTCGTAGACAGTATAAGTAGCACGTCGTTTCTTTGTATTAGAAAGCTTTTCCCCGGATTGTGAATCACTCTCATTTCAGATTGTTTTGTACAATTTGCGTGCCGCGTGATTCCACCCTAAGAAGTTCTACTGCCCCTGCCCGGTCGCGACAAGTTGCTCCCTGAGCACTTGTAGCTACTGTGATTTGAGTTTGAGTTTTGAGACATCAGAAAGTCGGATTCGCCGCATCTGGTTTAGTCGCGGCATTTAGTGTCGTCGCCTTTGGGCTTTGTTGAGATCGTTCCACACCTCTAGCTTGGCAGTGCGTCGACTAGTTGTGCTCGGGTTGTTTTGTTCAGTTGGCAGTGCGTCGACTTGAGAACTTTGGTTCCACACTTCTTGCTTGGCAGTGCGTCGACAAGTTGTGCTCGGGTTTTGGACATTGGATATTGGCTGTTAGTTGGCAGTGCGTCGACGCGGCATTTTGGTTAACTAGTTGGCAGTGCGTCGACTCAGTACTTTTGGTTGTGTCAGTTGGCAGTGCGTCGACTTGACATTTTGGTTCTACTAGTTGGCAGTGCGTCGACTTGATATTTGGGCTTTGCGTCACCATCTAGACGCTGTCGCTACAAGGGATCTTAATACTTCGTATTAAGCTCTGACTTGTTATATTGTTGGTTGTGGATTGGATTAGTGTTGGTTGTGTTTGTATAGGAGATATTGGTTGAGATACCACTGTTTACTATATATATATTCTTGTCGCCGACTTCGTCTCCGCGACTATTGGATCTGTGTCTATTGAGAGTTGTGATACTGGTGCTCTGTCCACCCCGAAGCCCTCGCATCTTTCACACACTGAGAAGCTGATTACGAGGAGTGTGAGCGTGTTTTATATTTGGGTTTACTTTCATAGTAGATTCACTTGTGAGCACGCCCTCAGCATTTCACCGTCCTCGTGCCCCAGTGCTCCCTGCTGTAGCACCGGCCCTCGCTGCCCGCCCGGCGCCCGTCCCTGTCGCCCATCCAATTCCCATGGAGGTAGACCGGGCCCGGCTCCGTGGTGACATTCGACGCACCTGCTTCCGCTGCGGCAGTCCGGGTCATCTTGCCCGTGACTGCCCCACCCCAGCGGACATACATCACGCTGATGTCCTTGACGAGGTCATCAATCAGCTGGGGAGTGATCTGCTTTCCGAGTTGGTTGCTCGGGTCGCGACCACTGCAGCCATTGCGGATCATGCGTCCAACGTCGCAGCCGAGGAGGAGCGGGGTTTTCTCCCCAGCAACGAGTGAGTAGTAGGCCCTCATTCGCTTCACGTAATCGTTTCTCCTGTTTGTATGATGAATCCAATTCCCTCCACTCTGCAACAGTTGAAGCGATAGACGTACACCCTGCTCCCCCTCTAACCCCACGAGTCCGTAAGGAGAAGTGGGAACGCAAGCTCCCTTCCTGCTATGTTGCTGCCGCCTCTCCCGGGGCCAATTCTCTCCACCTCCCCCTCGAGATCGAGTCCACCGACAACGCAGTGAAGTTATCTCTCAAAGGCCTGGTCGATTGTGGTGCCACATCCGACTTCATCGACTCGGCCTACGTCCTCGAAAATCGCCTCCCCGTTCGTCGCCTCACCCAGCCTATCCCCGTTTACAACGTGGACGGCACGCCGAACAAGTCCGGTTCCATTCGCAAAGTTGCTGATGTGGTTCTCCGCTACCAGGGCCACAGTGAACGCGTGCAGCTTGCTGTCACCCGTTTAGGCAAGCAGCAGCTCATTCTAGGGTACTCCTGGCTCCGGAAGCACAACCCGGAGATCAACTGGGATACCCAGGAGGTAAAGATGAGCCGTTGCCCTTCTGGTTGCTCCACCTGCCGGGAGGAACTTCGCGAAGAACATCGATCTGCCAGAACCGCAGCCTGGGTGCTCCGCACCATCAGACAAGGTCCGGTTCCATCCATCTGCGCTGTCGACGTTGAGGACCACGAGGACAAAGAGATGCCGGAGCTTTCGCCAGACTCGGACGATTATGACCCTGAAGATGTCGAAGAAGATGACGACTCCTTGGAAGCCGGTGACCGTATCTTTTACACCCGCTTCAACCCTTCTGAAAACATCCGAGCCACCAGCACCGTCTCTCAGCGACTCGCTGAGGCGTTTGCTAAGAACTCTGCACCTCCTCGGGATACCATCCCCGAGTGGGCCCGCGAGTTCGAAGATGTTTTCAGCAAGGAGTCCTTCGACAACCTGCCAGAGCAACGCCCCTGGGATCACGCCATCGAACTGGTTCCCGACGCGAAGCCGACCAACTGTAAGGTCTACCCCATCTCCCCTCTCGAACAGAAGCAGCTTGACAGCTTCATCGAGGAGGGCATGGCTACTGGCAGGATTTGGCTGTCAAAATCACCCATGGCGTCTCCCGTCTTCTTTGTGAAGAAGAAAGATGGCAGCTTACGGTTTGTCCAAGATTACCGAGCACTAAACGCGATGACAGTGAAGAACCGCTACCCGCTCCCCCTGATCAATGATCTCATCAACAAGCTCAAGGGAGCTCGGTTCTTCACCAAACTCGACGTTCGCTGGGGCTTCAACAACGTGCGCATTCGTCAAGGCAACGAGTGGAAGGCAGCGTTTCGGACAAACCGCGGGCTCTTTGAGCCGTTGGTGATGTATTTCGGCCTGACCAACTCCCCCGCAACGTTCCAGACGATGATGAATGACATACTTCAGGACCTCATCCTCTCTGGCGACGTTATGGTGTACCTCGACGACATTCTCATCGCACATTCCGATATCCACCGTCACCGGGAAATCGTGAACGAAGTCCTCCGACGTCTCCGCAAGAACAAGCTCTACCTTCGCGCGGAGAAATGCGAGTTCGAGATGCCGTCAATCGAATACCTTGGGGTGATCATTTCCCACAACCATGTGGAGATGGACCCGGTCAAGGTCGCAGGTGTGGCGGAGTGGCCAGCTCCGGCTAACAAGAAGGAAGTGCAGCAGTTCCTCGGCTTCACTAACTTCTACCAGAGGTTCATCCGGGATTTTTCGCACATTGCCCGTCCTCTCTTTGACCTCACCAAGAAGGACGTGGCATGGACTTGGGGCGCCAACGAGGCAGCTGCGTTTCTTGCGCTGAAGAACGCTGTTACCTCTACCCCAGTCCTGCAGCTCCCAGATGCTTCCCAGTCTTACCGCCTCGAAGCAGACAGTTCAGACTTTGCAACCGGTGCTGTCATCTTGCAGCAGTCCCCCGTGGATGACAAGTGGCATCCGGTTGCCTTCTTCTCGAAGAGTCTTAACGAGGTCCAGCGGAACTACAAAATCCACGACAAGGAGATGCTCGCCATTGTCCGCGCCTTGGAGGAGTGGCGACACTTCCTTGAGGGCGCCGAGCACCCCGTTGAGATCTGGACCGACCACAAAAATCTGGAGTACTTCTGGAAGGCCCAGAATCTCAACCGTCGTCAAGTCCGCTGGTCCCTCTATCTGTCTCGCTTCGACTTCACCCTACACCACCACCAACCTGGCCGCCTCATGGGCCGCCCGGATGCTCTCTCGCGCCGCCCCGACCACGGAGTCGCTGCGGATAACGCAGATGTCACACTGCTGCGCCCGGAGCTGTTCCATGTCTGGGCCTTAGAGGGTCTCACTGTCTCTGGACCCGAAGCCCCTCTCCTGCGCGACATCCGGGAGGCCCTCGCCGGTACCCCCGACATGGAGGAGCCCATTGTGTTGGCAGCACGTGAGCTCCTCAAGGAACGCGGAGTTTGCTCTGCTCGGGCTGCGGAGTGGCAAAAAGAAGGCGGCCTGCTCTACTTCCGTGGCAAGCTGGTGGTTCCACGCAACAACGACCTCCGCCGACGCATCCTCGAGCAGCACCACAACACCCGCGTCGCAGGGCATGCCGGCCGCTTCAAGACGTTGGAGCTGATCTCTTGGAACTACTGGTGGCCCCAGTTGTCTCGACACGTCGGCCGGTATGTGGCCACCTGCGACCTGTGCTGCCGAACCAAGGCGCTCCGCCAACTCCCAATCGGGGAACTCCATCCCACGGAGGTCCCTTCGGAGCGCTGGGAAGCGGTGTCGGTTGACTTCATTGTGCATCTGCCAGACGCTCACGGGTATGATGCTATCATGGTCGTTGTTGACATGCTTGGGAAGCGCAGCCACTTTATAGAGTGCCATACCCGGCTCTCCAGTGAAGGTGCCGCCAGGCTTTTCTACAAGAACGTCTGGCGCCACCATGGGCTGCCGTCTAAGTATGTCTCTGACCGCGGCTCCCAGTTCATAGCAGAGTTCACGCAGGAGCTGTGGAAACTGGTCGGGGTCTCATCGGCAATGTCTACGGCTTGGCATCCACAGACGGACGGCCAGACCGAGCGTGTGAACCAGGAGCTCGAGCAGTTCCTCCGGATCTTCACCAGCTACAACCAGGACGATTGGGACGAGCTGCTTCCCGCTGCAGAGTTTGCCTACAACAACCATATTCACTCATCCACGCAGCAGGTCCCGTTCATGACAGATACCGGTCGACTCCCTCGTATGGGCTTCGAACCGAATGGACTACGCTCAGCTGTGAACGAGTCGGCAAACGACTTCCGCGACCGCATCGCGTCTGGAGTGGCAGAAGCCAAGTCGGCACTGGTGAAGGCAAAGGATGAGTACAAGCAGTACTACGACCGCCAGAGGGTCTCAGCTCCAGACATCAAGGTCAGAGATCGAGTCTGGCTTGACGCTTCTGACATAGCAACAACGCGCCCGTCCCTCAAACTCTCTCACCGACGGCTGGGTCCCTTCAAAGTCACCCAGGTTGTTGGGCGCGGCGCTTACAGGCTTGACCTCCCTTGCCGCCTCTCTGGTCTTCACCCAGTCTTCCCCGTTGTCAAGCTGCAGCTCGTTGAGGACGACCCGTTCCCAACACGCCCGGCTCGCGAGGAGCCGCCACCCGTCATGGGCCAAGGAGCTGGCGAGGAGTGGGAAGTCAAAGAGGTCCTGGACGCCAAGATGCGCTACCGGAGCATTTGGTACTTTGTGCGGTGGAAGGGCTACGATTCGTCGCACGACCAGTGGGTTAAGCACTCTGATATCTTCGCAGAGGACGCTATAGCGGCATTCTACCGCAAACACCCCAACAAGCCACGCATCATTGCCGCCGCCATCTTCGACTCCCTTCCGTTCCAGCACCCCTCTGCCACCATCCGCACGTTGCGTCGAGGCGCCGCAATCCAAGGGGGGGGTGATGTCAGGGGAACCCCCGCTTCGGACCGCTCTGCCTTCGATCAGGCATGTGATCGCGCTCGCGTGACCTGTCAGCTGTCACGCGCCGCGGCCCGGACTGCCACGCCAAGCGCTTCTCTCTGCTGGGCACATGGTCAGCTGTCCCATCATTCCCACTGTCTCGGTTTCCTATTGTTCTCCAATGGCCATTGTGCTTATTGTTCCCATTGTTCTTTGTTTGTCGCTGCACGCTCTATTGTTCTTGTATCATATAAATAGTGGCGCCTGGCAAGGAGAATCCCCAACACGGTTTCTCTTTGGATTCTCCCCTGCCAGGTATGCCGGTCTTGTACCTAGCTACCACTATTGACACTTTGGATTCTCCCTTGCCAGAACTCTGAGATCGGGTCTCGAGGTTGCCCTTACAGCAGAAACCGTGTTCCTAAGGATAACTTCGAGCTGTAAATCAAAGTCTATTCTCAATATATGTCAGGGGACGCCGCGCTCGTTGGGCACGTGACCATGCACATGACCCACTGTGCCCTTTCTGCCGACCCGTGCCTGCTCACCTGTCGATCACCTAGCCTTCTCCTCCTCCTCCAATCCTCATCTCCATCCATGCCGACATCCGCCCTCTTCCTCCTTCCCCCAGCCATCTCCCTCGAATCCCCGCAAGCGGTCTAGCCAAGCCCAATTCCTTGCACCAGGGAGTGCTACTGCCGTACGCACTCCTCCCCCTTCACTTCGGCCTTCTCCCCGCGGATGTGGTCTACTGCCGTACAGGCTCGTACCAGATGCCCTTGCGCTCATCCGCACCACCCCTCTTCCCAGTTGGGCATTGGTCCTTGCCTCTGATGTCTCCACTGGCTGGCCCAGCACTGGCCTAGCCACTGGGCTCCTCCAGTGTGGCCTTCCACTGTTGGTGTCTCAGGAGCTGGCCATCACTGGCCCCTCTGAGCCACTCACTATCTTATCTGGGTTTGTCATCATCTACTTGTCATCTGCCATTGTTCCATGGCAGTGATATCCCATCATCATCAGTCACTTGTCACAGCTGACTATATAGTGTGAGACCTGGGCACGTGGATCCTTGAACCGTTCTCTAAGGATCCCCCTCTGTGCTCAGGTGAGTAGTATACCTCCCTTGTATTTGATAGTCTCTAAGGATCCCCCTCTGTGCTCAGACTCATGTGAGGTTGTTGTGTGCTGTGTGCTCTCTTCCTTCGGGCTGGCAGGACTTGCCCTTACAATATATATATTTTGTCTGGAAACAGAACGGTGAAAATCGGACTTCTAGATTGTCACGCATTTTCTACGAAAAAAAAATAAGTCCCCCAAAACAAAAACCCGAAATGAAATTAGACAGACTACACCCCCAATCAAGTAAAATGTACTGAAAAGATTGTCGTCTGATGTTCATCAAGCATATGCCACTTCGTTCCGGAGATCTCCCGAGAACGTTTCGGAAACGTTTTAAGCTCCCTGTCTGTGGAACACTTGAACAACCATCGGTGTCATAGTTCGGCCACTTTTTCATCTTATCATCGACGATCTTATCTTATCTTGGCACGACTTATCTTATCACGGATCACGGCATCAGACGGTCCGGACTAGGGGTTCCAGGGATTATCTTCATCGATTCGAGGCTGCGCGACATATGCTCCAGAAGGTTCTACTACGACCTATGACCAGCGTTCCATGCGGTACATAGCCCTATGACTCATTAGTTGTAGATATGACTCAGACTGGATTTGGGTATAAATACTGTAGCTACTTGGTTGTATTCTCCAGTCTTCGAATTCACTTCTCTTTTCGACTTTGTTTTTGGGTTGATTGTCACATAATTCGAAGACTCCCCTCATACCCTCCTACCTCATACCTCTTACCCTGCATCTTGCACCGCTACGCCCGCTATATCCTCTTAACCCTTATCACCCCACTCACCCTTTTACCGAATCATCTAGTCGTCCTCCACTATCGCAGTGAAGGGTTCATATCAAGCAAACAGCACCAGGCCACGGGTAACGTTGAGCCCGACCCAAGCCTTACGGTAGCTACAAGGAGTGCTGCGGAGACCTTCGGGAAAACGCACCTCGGGATCATCGGGCACGTGAAGAGCTAGGCCCGGGATCTTTTTGCTAGCAAAAGAACCCTCCCTCGAGTGCTTGTACAGCACACGATTCCACCATTTTGTACCGATTCCCATCGTCGTCTGGGAGTCCGTCCCCTCCCCCCATCGTACCATCGTCGCCCGATCTGGCGCATCAAAACCAACCCGGGCCCTCCAACCCCTACCTCGCCCTCCCACCGCCTGAAGACGAGATCCCCGACCTCGACGAACTGCCCTCCGAACAACCACCCTCGCCTCCACCTCACACGCCTGCCCCTACCATGTCAGGGCATCACCGCATCACCCTCGCCGCCAACCCCCCCTACTTCGATGGCGACAAGTCCAAATACCTGGGCTTTGTGGACGCGTGCACCACTTACATCGGTGCCTATCGATCGGAGTTCTCACAAGATGAGACCAAAATCCTCTTTGTCCTCTCCTACCTCCGTAACGAGAACGGCACGAGCTGCGCTGCCTCGAGATGGGCGATGAACTGGAAGCAGCACAACTTCGATGGCTTCCAGGGACTGAAGGCAGGAGTCACATCAAAGAACTTCCTGGAGGAGCTTCAGAGGGCGTTCGGGGACTCCAATGCGGAACAAGTCGCCGCTGCTCGGCTTATGGCCCTGCGTCAAAACAAACGGTCCTTCGCGGACTACATCTCCGACTTTGAGATGTTGGCCGCGGATGCAGGCTACAATGTGGTTGACACCACCGACGACAAAGGCGAATACAAGAAGGGGGACCAGGATAATATCCTCATCGAGTTCCTGGAGCGCGGACTCAGCAGCGAGATCGCCAGCCGTCTCTACAACACCGGTGTCCCTCTGCCCAAGGCCTATGGAGCGTTCAAAGCCTGGTGCATCAACATCGAAGCCAATGCTCTGCGTGACCAGCTGCGCAAAGCGTCGTATGGGCACCCCACACAACGACCACCTCCCCAGTTCCGTCCCCAAACGGCACCAGTGGCGCCCACACCCGCTCCGGCCCGACCCGCTGCCAACGAACCGGTTCCGATGGAAATCGATCGTACCCACGCCCGCGGCCGCAATATCATCTGCTACAACTGTCAGCAGCCCGGGCACATTGCGCGGAACTGCCCGGAGCCCAAGAAGAAGCGCACGTTCTTCAATCGGGCCACAATGCTGGAAGAAATCGAGAACGGGGACAAGGACAACGAGTTCCTGAAGGAGATTGCCGAGAAGCTGCGCGAGAAGGGTTTTTGAAGCGCTCCACTCCTCTAGCCAAGGAGGTGGAGCGTCCGGACTATGGACGATTTTCTGTACTTGTTTCGATTAAAGATACGGACAATATTTCATCTACATACACGATCTCAGACTCACTACGTACAAATATTCACGATTTTCTTATTGCCGAGATGGAAAAAGAACGCCAGGAAAAGATAGCTCTAAATAGAAAATACTTACAAGATAAAAAAGATCAGAAAGCTGCAGATAAATTATTTTTGGACTCCTACGTATTTATGGCTCGTGGAGAAGGAACCACGTCAACAAAGACCGAAAAGGGGAGCATCGCTCCGAAGGCTCGATCCTTGGAAAAGGAGGAAGCGCCCAAGGAATCTGCCAAAATCGAGGTTCCAGAAGCACCCAAACGCACCAGGGTGCCAGATGCCATCCAGAGGAAATTGGCGGCCGAGAAACAGAAGGGCCCCCAGCCCAGCAGATTGGCGCAGGAATTGCGCAGTTACCAAGCCGAAAGAAAGAGGCATTCAATGGACGTATATGTCCAGATCACGGGTCTGGACTCAGGGAAAACGCGTGGAGTCAAGGCACTGCTCGATAGTGGCTGCAGTACCTGCTGCATCGACACCGACTACGCACGGGCAGAAAAGCTGGATATCCAAGAGCTTCCGCAACCCATTGTGGCTCGTAACGCCGACAACACCGAGAACATCAGCGGTCGGATCACGCACTACGTCGACTTGAGAATGAGAATCGGTCCTCATGTGGAGACACGCACGTTCCTTCTGACGTGTCTGGGAAAAGCCCGGATCTTCATCGGCCTGGATTGGCTGACGGAACACAACCCCGAGGTGGATTGGCAGAAGCAGACAATGAGATTCAGCCGATGCCCAGAGCAATGTCAAATGAGGGGTCACGAGGAGCACCAAGCGATGATCGACATGGATGCAATTGACCTGGACGCGGGTGCACCGGATCTGGAAGAGGGAGAATCGATCTTGTTGATCGACTTTGGAAAGGAGGTAGACCTACGGCTGAAGGAAACGCCGGCGCAGAAATTCGCAGAAGAAGCGGAAAAGGAGAAGGAGAGAATGACCGAGGGAAAGATTCCAGATCAATACCGAGAATTCGTCAAAGTATTCGCCAAGGAATCATTCGACTCGCTACCGGACCAACGGGCATGGGATCATGCGATCGAGCTCAAACCAGGCTCCAAAGCAGTGGACTGCAAGGTGTACCCCTTATCGAGAAACGAGCAGGTCAAACTCGACGAGTTCTTACAAGAGAACCTAGCCAGCGGACGAATCAGGCCATCAAAATCACCCATGGCATCGGCATTCTTCTTTGTCAAGAAGAAGGATGGCTCGCTACGGCCTGTTCAAGATTACCGGAAGCTGAATGAGATGACGATCCGAAATCGGTACCCGCTACCGCTGATTTCCGAACTGGTCCACAACCTGTGCGGCGCCAAGTTCTTCACCAAGCTAGACATCCGGTGGGGATACAACAACGTACGGATCAAAGAGGGCGATGAGTGGAAGGCTGCGTTTCGCACAAACCGCGGACTTTACGAGCCCTTGGTTATGTTCTTTGGTCTCACGAATTCCCCGGCAACTTTCCAAAACATGATGAACGACATACTCCGGGAACTGATCAACGAGGGACATGTGGTAGTTTATCTGGACGACATACTAATCTTCACAGAAAATCTGGATGAACATCGACGAATCACCAAACGGGTACTCGAGTTGCTCCAAAAGCACAAATTATACCTGAAGCCGGAAAAGTGCGAGTTCGAACGCACGGAAATCGAATACCTGGGTGTAATCATTGGACACAACTCGATGCGGATGGACCCTGTCAAGATCAAGGGCGTGATGGAATGGCCGGAACCAAAGAGCGTCAAACAGGTCCAAGCTTTCCTCGGATTCACAAACTTCTATCGGCGCTTTGTTCGGGGATATGCGGAGGTTGCCAAGCCGTTGACGCGGCTGACAGGGAAGGCAGGATGGTCATGGGGTACGGATGAACATGCGGCGTTTGATGGGTTAAAGAAGAGAATCGCGGAGGATGCCGTCTTAGCACTGCCAAATGACACCGGTCAATATCGTCTGGAAGCCGATGCTTCGGAAGGGGCAACAGGATCTGTTTTGAGCCAAAACCAAGACGGCATTTGGCGCCCAATTGCATTTATTTCGCATGCATTAACGGAAACCGAGCGAAATTACGAGATCTACAACAAGGAAATGCTTGCAATCATGTTATCGCTCGACGAATGGAGGCAGCTACTCTTGGGGGCCACAGAAACGTTTGAGATCTTCACTGATCATCAGAACCTCGAATACTTCCGGAAGCCACAAAAGCTCAACCGACGACAAGCACGATGGATCACAGAATTAGCAGAATTCGATTTCACCTTACAACACCGGCCCGGCGCACTCAACCGCAAGGCGGATCTCTTATCTCGACGAGCGGATCACGATCAGGGCAAGAACGACAACAAGGATATCACTCTGCTGAAACCCGAATTCTTCCGGTCACAAGAAGTCACATTCGAGGGGCAAGATCAGCAGCTAATCGATGAGATCAAGGCTACTCGATCAATTGATGGAAGCGTCAAAGCGGCCTTGGAGAAGTCACTCGTCGGATGGAAAAAGGAAGATGGGCTCATCACGTACCATGGGAAGCTCTACGTGCCGAGGAATGAGGAGCTACAAGACAAGATCATCGGACTACACCACGACACACCTTTGGTCGGACACGCTGGGATCAACCGAACGCAGGAGATGGTGGAAAGGAACTACTGGTGGCCAAGGATGGGAAACCAAATTCGGAAATACATCCAGACGTGCGAGGCGTGCCAGCGGACCAAGACCAGAAGAGCCAGGACAGGGAGTTTGCACCCGCATGCAGTTCCAAACGCGCCGTGGGAAATCATCTCCATGGATCAGATCGGACCCCTGCCGGTCAGTAACGGGTATGACGCAATTCATGTGTGGTGTGACACCTTCACCAAAATGATCCATGTCGAACCAATTAGTACTGACATCAGCAGCGAAGGAGTAGCACGGTTAACCAGGGACCGAATCTTCCGCTATCACGGGGTCCCCCGCAAAATCATCACCGACAGGGACTCTCGATACATCAAGGGCTTTATGAAGGAAACGAATCGGATGTTGGGCGTGGAAATGAATCCGGGGACCGCATATCACCCCATCACGGATGGGCAGACGGAGCGTATGAATCAGGAGATTGAACACTATCTCCGCATTTACGTCAACTACCATCAGACGGACTGGTCGGAGTGGCTGGGAATGGCGGAGTTCGCATACAACGACAAAATGAACACGTCTACCAAAATGTCGCCGTTCTATGCTAATCACGGATATCACCCATGGAAGGGAGTGGAGCAGCGGATGGAATCAAGGAACGAGTCGGCGGAGGAATTTGTAAAAAGAATCAAAGAAATACAAGACGAAGCAAAAGCAGCATTGGAAAAAGCAAAAGAAAAAATGAAAAAATACTACGATAAACAAAGAAAAGAAGTTCCGGAGTTGAAGGTGGGGATGAAGGTGTACATAGAGGGGGACAATATCGAGACGGACAGGCCTTCGAAGAAGATGAGCGACAAGAGATTGGGGCCATACGAGATACTGGAGAAGGTTGGAGCGGCTGCATGGAAGCTGAATTTGCCGGACACAGACCGAAGACACCCGGTGTTCAACGAGTCACTGTTGACACCCTATCACGAACCACCCCCCCATCGCCGAGAGAAGAGACCCGTGGCCAAGATGATCGGAGGAGCAGAGGAGTGGGAAGTCGAAGAAATCGTGAAAGAGCGAAAAGTCGGCCGAGGAAAACAGTACTTGGTCAAATGGAAGGGATGGCCGCACAGCGAGAACACCTGGGAACCATCACGTCACCTTACCCACGCAAAGGACGTCCTGAGAGACTGGCAGAGGAAACAATCAAATCCAGACACACGCATTCGCCTCCTGCCAACGCTCGAAGCTGGACACTGGGACTATCTCATTCATCGCTACAAGCCCAGGGACGAGCGCCTTCCATATCCCCAACGACAGCTCTTCGACCCTTACGAGAACGTCTTCTTACCCATTGGCCTAGTCGATGAGGACACCGACCCTAGAGAGGGGGTAATGTCATAGTTCGGCCACTTTTTCATCTTATCATCGACGATCTTATCTTATCTTGGCACGACTTATCTTATCACGGATCACGGCATCAGACGGTCCGGACTAGGGGTTCCAGGGATTATCTTCATCGATTCGAGGCTGCGCGACATATGCTCCAGAAGGTTCTACTACGACCTATGACCAGCGTTCCATGCGGTACATAGCCCTATGACTCATTAGTTGTAGATATGACTCAGACTGGATTTGGGTATAAATACTGTAGCTACTTGGTTGTATTCTCCAGTCTTCGAATTCACTTCTCTTTTCGACTTTGTTTTTGGGTTGATTGTCACAATCGGCAGATGTTTTGTAGATGATTTAAGAATATCCGGTAATTAATCTGCAAGACCTTCCATGGCCACAGCCGCCTGAGCACTGTTATTCGACTCATTGTTGCCTGCAGCGGTAACACCGCCGATACCCTCCGTGTCTTCAGTGGCCACCTCCCCTCCCTTCCTCTTCCTTCAGTTCTTCTCCCTCGTTGCGTGTGATCTTGCCGTTGCTTGTGCGTGCTTTTCCGGGCCTATCTTCTGAAGCACAGCGGCAGCTTCATCCTGTGCCGCAATGCGAGCCTCAATTTCTGTGTAATAACGCTCCGGCATGGTGAGATGCCGGGGAAGCATCTCGCGCAGAAGATGCACGTTGTGCAAGGCATGCATGTTGATGAGAAAGCGGCTGGTCTCTTTATGCACCAGGACTTTCCGGCTTCCAGTCTGTTGATCCGGGTCAGGTCGAGTCTCAATGGCGCACGAAAGATTTCGACAGTTGTGCTGAGCGTTGAACTTCAAGAGGATGCCCTTTTGGATGCACAATATAAGAATACAACAATCAATTCGGTTTGGGCAACTTACCGATACAGAAATGATCTTGGTGCAGCTCCGGGGGCCGGAAATCGGGGCATGCCGTTCCACCGAGTCGACTGGACGAGGCTCGGCGCGAAGCTGAGCAATCAAAAGCGGCATCTTGAACTTTTGATCCAAGGTGCCCGAGATGAAGAACATCTGGACAATCACTGCTATTCGAGGCTCGCGGGCTCCGACATCTGTTGTCGGTGTGAGAATTTGTACAATTCTGGCAACCTGATGAATGTTCCGTCAGTTAGTTCACCGGAGAACCCAACGAGCAAGCCAGTCCATGGAATTCACGCACTGAGGCCGGTGCCTTGGGATCATCAGAGTCCGAATAAAATATCCATGACCCCACACTGCAGGGGGACTTGATTTTTTCCGTGGAAAATGCGTGACAATCTAGAAGTCCGATTTTCACCGTTCTGTTTTCAGACAAAAAATATATATTGAAAATAGACGTTGATTTACAGCTCGATTTTTACCATGAATAGACATCTATTCCTCCCGAAAACAGAACTGTAAATAGATCATCTTTTTCTTGATCGATTCCCACCGGGAATAGACGTCGATTTTCACTGAAAATAGAGACAAAGAAAAGATGATCTTTTTTCACTGAAAACAGATTAAAACCACTGGAAGAATCTGTTGATTCTGGCCCCAATTCACATCCCTAGCCTCATCTCCGGCCAGTCCCTTGGAAGTCTGTCCCACGCCAGCTCGTCAAATGCGTCAACGCCTACGTCCGGCCCACACAGCCGCGCAAGAGCGAAGAGGAGAAGTCGGTTGGTGCCCTCTACGAGGCCGTTGATCCAGGGGGCATAGGCGGCGATGACATGGTGTGTGGCCCCCCACTCCGTGCAGAAGTCCCGTACCTGCTGATTTGTAAGGGCAACCTCGAGACCCGATCTTGGAGTTCTGGCAAGGGAGAATCCAAAGTGTCAATAGTGGTAGCTAGGTACAAGACCGGCATACCTGGCAGGGGAGAATCCAAAGAGAAACCATGTTGGGGATTCTCCTTGCCAGGCGCCACTATTTATATGATACAAGAACAATAGAGCGTGCAGCGACAAACAAAGAACAATGGGAACAATAAGCACAATGGCCATTGGAGAACAATAGGAAACCGAGACAGTGGGAATGATGGGACAGCTGACCATGTGCCCAGCAGAGAGAAGCGCTTGGCGCGGCAGTCCGGGCCGCGGCGCGTGACAGCTGACAGGTCACGCAAGCGCGATCACATGCCTGATCGAAGGCAGAGCGGTCCAAAGCGGGGGTTCCCCTGACATACAGCTTGATTTTTACCATGAATAGACATCTTTTCCTACCGAAAACAGAACTGTAAACAGATCATCTTTTTTTCGATTGATTCTCACTGGGAATAGATGTTGATTTTCACTGAAAACAGAAACAAAAAAAGACGATCTTTTTTCACTGAAAAAAGATTAAAACTACTAGAAGAATCTGCTGATTCCAGCCCCAATTCACATCACAAGTCCTGCAGCATGATTCCAACATGTTGTGAGAAGCATTCAGTAGCATTTTGCAAGGCCAGCAATGCAATTTGGGGCCGGAATCAACAGATTCTTCTAGTAGTTTTAATCATCTTTTTTTGTTTCTGTTTTCAGTGAAAATCAACATCTATTCCCAGTGAGAATCAATCGAAAAAAAGATGATCTGTTTACAGTTCTGTTTTCGGGAGGAATAGATGTCTATTCATGGTAAAAATCGAGCTGTAAATCAACGTCTATTCTCAATATATATATTTTGTCTGAAAACAGCACGGTGAAAATTGGACTTCTAGATTGTCACGCATTTTCCTTGGAAAAAAAATAAGTCTCCCCGCAGTGTCTCCCGTTCGACTCCCAGCAGAAACTTTTATCTGGGATCTCCATCAGACTGATGCCGCCAATCAAAGAAATTTTTCGACTCGCTAAGCCGAATCTGTCGAAGAAGCAGAGTAGAGCCTGTAGAGGACAACCGGAAATGAGCAGTGACAACCAGTAGTTGGACACTGCTAGATGCCGTTACTTTTTATACATTTTCGGCATTGGAAATAAGAAAAATTGTTATTGCAATTTGCAAATATAATGGCTTCTGCCAAAAATAAAGTTTGTGGGCGTGAGAGGTGCTTGAGGTTAGGGTCTGCCTACAGCCCACTTGCTCTCGACCGGTCGGTCAGGTGTATTTGATTCCACCCCCATTTCGCTTGAAATTCTTCACCTTGTACAATGTTCCTACAGAAATACAGTTACAACAATGACGACAACAATGATGACCTTGAATACGACGATGAGTGGGGTCATGGAGGAGGGCATCGTGATGGAGATACTAGACAATGCAACGCAAGTCTTGAGGAGGATGAGGAAGATAAGGAGCTTGATGGTGTGTCCTATGAGAACTTGTGTGGGAGCTTCACTTACCTCCATGAGCTCAGAGTCCGATTACAATGATAGAAAAGGCATTGAATACGTTTTCTGCCTGCAAACAGTCTTCCCGCCTCAGCACCCAAACGAGAAGCGGTGCGCAAACGCAAAAGCTCCTGCCCTCCGTGGCACTTTCTATCTCCATGAAGCCAAACACCTCTCCGCTGTTTTGGATGCCTGCATCGAATCCATCAGTCATACTCCCAAATCCCTCATCTTCAAGATTGTTGCTGGGAAGCTGCGCACGTCCCATTTCACTCTCACCTGGACTATACCTTGCACAGACTTTCGTGATATGTCTCTCACAAGCATAAAGGATTGGGAAGGTGTCTTGAAGAAGCTGAATGAGAAGGGGAGCGCTGCTGCAAAGGTGAAACTGGATATGATTGAGCTTGAACTCCCGCAATTGGTGCGTTCACTGCTCTAAGTCTTTGAACACACACTCATGTCTCTGTTTACAGGCCTCTACAACCTCTGAAGATGAGCTGCAAGCAAAGAAACGTCGGACAACGACTGCCGCAGAAGAGGCCATCAATGAAGCCATCCAACAAGTTCGAGCTGAAAACCATTGTTCTGCGCCTGACAGTGAATGCCCTTCGCCATACTGTTTCATTGGGAACACACTGGGAAAGCATGTGGTCCTTAATCCGCCTCAACAACACTTGTGGAGATCCGCACTGGTGAGGTCATGTGCATATAGTCTGTCCATCAAGACTAACTTGTCTAGGCTGCAAAAGCAGATGGTGTTACGGCTTCAAATCCCCCTGAGGATGCCCAATTTTGGCCAATAGCAGACGGCAGTGACAACAAGTCCGCAAATGATGTTGGTCTGCTTGCAGCGCGGCGCTGAAATGCTGAGGGCATGCTCACAGGTGAATCTACTATGAAAGTAAACCCAAGTATAAACACGCTCACACTCCTCGTAATCAGCTTCAGTCTTTGAAATTCTGCCCTTGACTTTTCTGACTAAGCTGCCTTTTTGGGAAGCGTCCGGCACGTGCACACGGAGGCTCCAGATCCTAATTTATTTTCATTATTGGTGTATTTGTCTAGCAAACAAGTTTGTTGACGATCTTGTGACCTCCCACCTTTCTCCCCTGCCCATCACCCTCCTCCCGTTTGACGCGACGACCCAACGATACCCCCCCACAGCCGGTCGTGCCACGCGATTTGCGCGTACGCACGGCCTTCCACGCCATTGGGCTTCCGCCCCGTCACCTGTACCTGACGGAGGGAGGGCACCGGGGCAGGGCATCTGAACCGACGCCGTGAGCAAGCGGTCACGGCGTCACTTCAGATGCCCTCCCCCGCTCTTTCTTCCGCTACTCCCTCATCCCCTGCCCTTTGCATGTTGTCCACTCTCCCTCCTCCTGTGCCCCACAGCACCTCTGGCCCTCTGCTGTACATTTACATTAGAAACTGTACAATTTTCATTATCTCTACGAGCTACAGTGTTGTATGTACCTCTAAGTGTAAATGCTACTTCTTTGTCCCCACTCACTGAACTCTAAAAAACTCATTATTTCAATTCTAAGTTTGTTTCTAACACTTGGATCTTGTTTCACGTATTTTTACTCTGCTTATTCAATAAAGAATGATTTTCGGCGAAATTTCGGTGCCTATCACATGCTGTCGGCCGGCGACTGCCTTATATGGTGCATCCAAAAAAGGAAACCCAAGGGCAGAATTTTGCGAACTATCAGCTTCTCAATGGGTGAAAGATGCAAGGGCTTCGGGGTGGACAGAGCATCAGTATCACAACTCTCAATAGACGCAGATCAATAGTCGCAGAAGACGAAGTCGATGACAAGAATTTATATATAGCAAACAGTGGTGTCTCAACCAATATCTTCTATACAAACACAACCAACATTAATTCAATCACAACCAACAATATAACAAGTCGGAGCTTAACACGGAGTATTGAGATCCCTTGTAGCCACAGCGTCCAGATGGCGACGCAAAGCCCAAATATAATGAGTCGACGCACTGCCAACTGACCAAAACTACCCGAGCACAACTAGTCGACGCACTGCCGAACTAGAGGTGTGGAAACGATCTCAACAAAGCCCAAAGGCGACAACACTAAGTGCCACAACTAAACCAGATGCGGCGAATCCGACTTTCGGATATCTCAAAACTCAAACTGAAAATCACAGTAGCTACAAGTGCTCAGGGAGCAACTTGTCGCGACCGGGCAGGGGCAGTAGAACTTCTTAGGGTGGAATCACGCGGCACGCAAATTGTACAAAACAATCTGAAATGAGAGTGATTCACAATCCGGGGAAAAGCTTTCTAATACAAAGAAACGACGTGCTACTTATACTGTCTACGACGATGCTTAGTAAAGTCCTGTACAACTGCATAGTAGCTACGCTATCTAAGATCAGTTGCCTTTTAGGGTAATTGAAAAGTTGAACGATCGGACAGGCCCTGAGTGATCAGGACCCCGCCCCATAGTCCATATGATACTTTTGATGTGGGTCAACCCACCGCGTCATACTTTTGGAATACGACGTGTTGGATTGGCCAACGGGTATGTCTTGGCATGTGAGACCAACGTGGGCGCCCCAAGAAGCCGTATGGCCCTAGGCACGCCAGTCGTCCCTCACATGGTTCGGTTCACGGATCTAGCCGTGCCGATTTTAGTGTGTTTAGGTATGGGCGCGACTCGCCGTGACACTTAGAAGT